TTCAGTTTGGTCTATCTGATCAGTTGTGTATGTACATGGTCATGGGGGTGGCTCTTCACAGTGATACAAGCCTGGGCAGGTCTTTGTTCAGCAGTGGCATGCATCTACCTAAGGTCATGAGCATTAGGAGATAGGGTCCACACAGGCCTTTGAAAAGAGGTTAAAAGGTAAGGCTGAGTACATTTAAAAAAATGTTCAAGCTTTTTATAGCCTTATGGTAAAGCGTTTAGTTTTCTGGGTGAAGTGTTGGAGCCAATTAAGGCATAGTACCTATTAAGCCAGAACTTTCCACTTTTGAAAGGGGCCCTGGTGTTTGTATATGGGTTTATATATTTTGTAGCACAACGGTATTAATAGACTTTTAAGCTAGAAGTGACTTTTTGTGTGCTTCCTGTAAGCAGACTCTAAAAATATCCTATATAATAAAACCTTAATACGCAAATCGACCAAATGGCGGGACGACTGGTGGAATGACTGGTCGCTGTGATGCACACTGACCACCAGGGGGCAGATGCTCAACACAGGAGCTGCCCACAGCCCACAGGCCCCGACTGGTGGTGGCAGCAGGGGGCGGGGGGCGGGGCTGGCGAGCTGGTGGCACCAGGTCAGCCAAGGTGGGTGTCAGCGGAGGCCGCCCAATCACCCCGCCGGTTGCCCCACAGATTGGCCCTGATCATTGGCCAGGCCTAGGGATCCTACCCATGCACAAATTTTGTGCACCGGGCCTCTAGTATATATATATATATATATATTATTGATTTCAGAGAGGAAGGGAAAGGGAGAGAAAGATAGAAACATTAATGATGAGAGGGAATCATTGATCAGCTGCCTCCTGCATGCCACCCACTAGGGATTGAGCCTGCAACCAGGGATGTGCCCTGATCGGGAATCAAATCATGACTCCAGGTTCATAGATTGACACTCAACCACTGAGCGACACTGGCCGGGCTCTGTAAGCAGACTCTTTTGTTGTCTTCCTTGCTTATTGGATTTTCCTGTTATTTCTGAGACGGGCACTAGAGGCCTTTTGAAGCTCGGTATTATCTTTATCCACATTGCCTTTTACTGTTCCAGTTAATTGGTCATTCATTCAGTCAAAAAGCCAGTGTGTGACAGGTGAGTGCCAGCTTCCAGTACACTGCTGGATTGGCCCGGGCATCCACTGCTAACCCATTAAGGTGGCACCTTTAGTCTCCTACATGTTGAACTTTTACCTTGCTACTGTCTTTTCTGTCACCTCCAGTTTTCCCATCTTAAAACTTCTTCCTGCCACCACACCATCTCCCTTCTTCCCTTGAAAACATCTTAAGAATTTACTCCTCTCACTCTTCCACTTCCTTGGTCCCACTGCCGCCAGACCTCAATCTGACTTGGGGCCAGATTAAGCCTAGCCTTCTGCCTAAACTACCTCATCAGTGTGATCCATACAGACAAATCCATTCTAGTCTTTATCTTCTTTAACCTCTGAGCAGCCT